GGGGATATTTTCCATTTTTGCAAAATTGAGCTTCCACTTAGCATACGGTGCCATTTTGTTTATTTTAAATCTATCCGACGTATCCGTTCCGCTGTTTCTAGACTTTAAATTAAATTTTATGTGCATTTATTTTCATTAAAAATACTCATTTCTAAGCACTTCAGTTTTCATTTGGTTTAAAGGACATTGGCAACGAAAATTTTTATTGGCTATTTCAATCCTACTTGACAACCGAACTATAAAAATATTATCATTTCCTTCTCGAACATTTTAGTCTACGAGTAAAATGCATGCAAACTTTGTGTTTCGGCCAGTTTCGTCGCCATCTTGGAAAAAATTTTTGAAAAATTATCTCGAAGGTCAATGAACTTTGTGACGTCATTGGCTGGGTAGCACCAAAACTACAAGAGAGAATTCTATTGCGTTGCGTGTTATGTCAGCTAAAAATATGTGGTTTTGAGCGTTATACTGGCCAACACTCTTCGCAATCAAACAGGAGAAGTCTCCACTATCAGATAAAAACATATCGAGCGACTGGGAAAGCAAGAAATGGCGCAATTTACAATACAGGTAATTGATCATAAAATATTGCATTAGTATTTGTCTTGTTACACTCGAATTTCTGCGCTTATTTAACACGGAGTAGGATATATACTATGAGAAATAGTGTTACAAACAAGTTACATACTTGGTAAAACTTTTCTGCCTTTTGTTTTGGCTCAAAATGCACTACGCGTGGTAATACACGGTATTGTTTATAGTCACGAGATTGTGTTTACCCAGCCAATGACGTCAGATAATGTATTTTGTGGCATAAATTAGCATACGCGCTTATTTCCAAAATGGCGGACAACTGTTCAAATTTTCTCAAATTCAATCAAATTTTCTCAGCAACTAAACGCGACAAACCGGCCAAAATATAAAATTAAATATTCCGTAAGTATACCTAATAGATATAAGTAATAAAAATTTTGGTTGCCAATGTCCTTTAATTTAATATTTGGTTTAATTAATATTTTATACTATTTCCCCTGGAAGTTTATCATAGAAAGTGGAAACACTTCTGGAAAAGAAAGACAGTCCTGCAACCCCTGCTGAAAATTTTGACGTTTCAATATGGTGGCATAAACTAGGCAAATTAATCAGTGTTTATTCCGTCAAATAAACCTTCCAGTTGGAGAACTCACTTTAAAATATGGGTCAAGAACAGAGCAGTGGTCACAGTAGCAGCAAAGCTTCGGATATTTCACCTGTCGGTGACATTGTGGTCGTTAAGAGTGGAAAAACCACCACCAAAGATCAACAAATTGTCAGAGACCCTGATATTGTGAAACTCAACAACATTACAACATTCAGTCCTTTAATGAAAGCTCCATTAAATAGTAATTCTGCAACCGACTTTGAAATAACGAACCGGCTGTATTCTCGGCCAGCACGGGCAATGTGTGCTAGATATGAGACCCATCTTAAATTGTGTGCCGAGGCAGTCGCCTTTGACCAGGATGCTATTACCCGCAGACTGAAAGAGATCGACAACTATTCGGCATCAGTACTGCGAGGTGTTGGCGAAAGGCACAAAAAGTTGCAAGGACAAATGCATTTTATATCAACAGTCGAGGATGTCAAAAGGAATATAGATCGAATTGAAATGACATTGCAACAGATTATACCTCTAATGGAGAAATTGAACGAGATGCTGCCAGAGCAGGACAGAATGGAACCCTTTTTGAAGATGTAACATATAATTGCTGTGGTGTCAACATGGACATTAGGACTGGAGGACAGGGGCAGGGGGGGGGGGGTGACTGCCCCCTTTACTCTAAGTTGGCAATGCTGGTGGAGGGTGGGGGAGAAGTACCATTTACAGACTTTTTCCATGATCCTGTTTTCTTCCTACTTTTTATTAAAAATCTTAGGGAACATCATCAGTATTGTCTTAAATTCTTTGCTATAATGACCTGCAGGGGAGAAGGCCAATTTTGTAAATAATCATTTTATATCAAGGTTACATTATATTTTTGTGTTATTTCCAAAATTTCCCACTTTTGTCCTTTACCTTTCCTGAAATTCCAGTCCTGTACTTTTATCCTATTTTTTACATAAGGATTTTTATTCAAACACATTAAGCAGTCATCCATTGAATCATCAAAATTTTCCATGACCATTTTCCAAAATGTCTGTGGCTCAACATTTAAGAGTATGCCTTGCAGGCCTCGAATTTCCCTGAAATCAATCGACGGCAATGGCGTTAAAAATTGCCGTAGAACGTAAAAGCTGTCCACGGCAATTTTGTCAGTTTCCACGGCATTTTTCAAATTACTGTAATAAAACTTTAATTTTATTGTTACTTTGGATTTTTGACAAGCTAGAAACATGTCTACGTATTTCTTTAGTGTTTTATTTCGAAGAAAACTGAGACTAAAATAGTGATTATATATGCGCATGATTTGATCAACATCTGAATTCAAGTATCAAAGTAGTAATGCACAGTGAATAGTATAAAAATTGCACTACTGACTACTGTATACCGCAAAAAATTGCCGTCGTTGCCGCAATGATCCACGGCATTTTGTTCTCCCTCTACGGCAATTGCCGCGATAAAATTCGAGCCCTGATGCCTTGGGAGGGGTTCGAAAAAAGAGCACTGTCTGTACGTTTGTGAAAATGTTGATACTTATGGACGGACTTCAAATCACCCAAATCTTTCTGACTCGTACCCGGTCCCCCACTCCATCAAATTCTTAGTATTTGTGAACACAATTTCAGCAGTACTTTCGCTTTTATAAATTTTGTTTAATCCAGCAGAAATTAACACTCAATTTAACACAATAATATAACTAAACATTTAAACCACAGTTATATGAACTGTGAAAAAATTAAATTGTTTTGATAGTTCCTAATTTACTACAGTTGCTAATGTTTCTTGATTCAAAATCCATTGGCTCCACAAACATGAGTGCTTGTCCGATCCTAATTCCTGGGAAAGGAAAAAAGTGGGTTTTAATATGTAGTATGTAGGTAAAATTTATTTAAAGATGCTAGCCTCATCAACAGATGTTGTTATATAGTTTGTGTCAAAGTTCAATTTTTCTGTTTGCCGATTGGTCAAAACCGTATCACGTGCCGGTCCACAAAACGTCATGTTCGGCAACCGGTCCACAATGAAACATTTATTGACCGGTCAATAATAAAATGGGTGCAATACGCATGCGTGTCAACCATGAAGTTCCAAAGTTCATTTTTAAAACTTATTAAACATTTACGGCGTTCCATTTATCCAGTTTTGGTTTCAAATTAAGTTCACTCCAATAACCGGTGAATTATTCATACTTTGATACTTATATACTATATAACAAAATACTTATTTACTGAGACCTCGGGAAAACAGTGTGTTAAACACACGGTTTCCCTCGGTCTCAGTAAATAAGTGATAATTGATTTTCATGAGGGGCATCACAAACCATATAAAAATATTACAAATATACTTAAAGTAGGTGTTTTCCATACATGAATCATGATATTCATTTTAAAGGAATAAATAGATTACGCCTCTTTCGCCTCCCGAGAAAGGCTGTTCCAAAGCTCCACTGACACTGTATTTAAAGCTCTTTTTCAGGAACTCCCTTCTCGGTTTTGGAAGAGCTATTATCAGTATTACTGTTTTTCCGTATCTCTCGAAGTTCTCCGTATATTTTTCAGGTAGTTGTATAAGATTGTAACACCTTCATAATCTATCCATTTCTTTCTTATGGTTTATGTGTTTGGGGACAAGCTTCAAAAACACATCCAAATAAGATTTTTATTTTACAACAGCGAGCTCTTCGCCTTGTCTTTCATGAGCTATAGAGCACATATAAATATATAATTCCTGCAAATTTAAAGTTCACGTTGCATAAAATATTATTGAAGGTTTTGGAATGTGAGGACGATTATGTTGATACGCCTAATCTGATTAAAATAATAAGCAGCTACTGTTAAACCATTTTATATTATTTTACAGTAAGTGGATTGTTCTAAAATATCTGTTAAATCCGATTAGTTGATTATTATCTTCTTTTCTTTCAAACAAACAAAAACAAATTAAAATTGCTCATAATATATGAATTCAACTTTCTGTAATACATACACTTTCTGCCTCGATTAATAGCTTTTGCTATACCTGCAGAATTGTGTAAATTTGTAAATATTCTTTATATCATTAAATTTTTGTTGTTGTTGTTGTTGTTGTTGTTGTTGTTGTTGTTGTTGTTGTTGTTGTTGTTGTTGTTGTTGTTGTTGTTGTTGTTGTTGTTGTTGTTGTTGAAACCTCTACTCTCTAGCGAAGTTTTTGATTTTACAACTCTATTATAATAGTTTTTACACCACTAGGCACTACCAGTTTTGAAATATGTTAAACAATATTATTAAACTTGGCAATTGTTCTCTTTAGGCCAAGTAAAAAAAATTAGTTTCGTCCGAATTTTGAAAAAAAAAGGAGAACTCGGGAGCTTTTTTTTTTGTTAAACCTTCAAATATTGGTCTTAAAGTTTACCAAATAACCTATAATTATAAACACACGCAAATATTGAAGTTTACTCATAAAACGTACATATTTAATAAAATAGACAAACAGCTATACTAATGCAATATGGTGCCAAAATAACAATATGCACGAACAGCGGCGCGAAGTACCGAATATGCAGCAAGTGAGACTAGTTGACGAAAAGTTCCGAATGGCAACTGAACTATGCCGAAAGGAGCAAAATGCCCGAAATATGTAAGTGGAAATTCTTTGAAAGGCTCGAATATAAAAAAAGAAAAAAAGAAAAGTCCATGCGGCAGGGAAAAAGGATGCGGGCGGGGACGAGAAACTACTAATTTTTTTACTTGCAGCCTTATAGCAATGATTTAAGAATTAAGAAAGCAAATTAACCACTACTCCACTAGTCATGCATGTATTCACCAAAGCCAAAGGGAAAGCGGCAGTAAATTAAGATTTAGCGTTCGAAGTTGACGTTCGGCGTATAAATTTCTTACTTGAACAGTTGAACTGCTACGGGGGCCAATTGTAGACGTAGTCGTTAATAAAGGATAAAGCATGAAATTTATACGCCGAACGTAAACCGCTTCAAACCGCTGGCGCGGCGCTACATCTTAATTTACTACTTTGGTGAACACATGACTAGACTATAGTGGTTAATTTGCTTTCTTAAATCATCGCTAAAGAGCAGAAGTTTAATAATTGTTTAACATATTTCAAAACTGGTGTAAAAGCTATTATAATAGAGTTGTAAAATCCTGAAAAACTTATCGCTAGCGGTTTGAAGTTAAGACTATATCGTATCTCTTACATTGGCACAGACATTTCGAGATTATAATCATATAGATTTAAATAAAAGCTAGCAGGATAAAATTAATCAGTCATTTAGTCAGCTTTAATTGTTCGGCAAATATGTTCCTATCCATGCATGCAGTACAAAAAGCTAGAAGATGCCTAGTTTACTGTAAGATCTTACCGCCGATCAGCCCAAATTTGAAGCAAAATCCGCGATCCGACAATGGTCTAGTGTCTAAATTTGAATCCGCTAAAAGCTCTACTGTCTCTACTATGAAGTCACAATCTAGGATCCGAACTTAATTGCAAGCTAAATCCACAATCCGAGCCAAAATATTAGATAAATCCGCAATCCGCTGTATTAATAAGGTCCGCAAATCCGTGTAAAATATTCGCCAGATCCGAAATCCGAACAATTTTTTCTGTGAAATCCGACGATCCGAAAACCTATTCACCCTGTATAAAGGCTTAGGCTTTCTTCTTTAAGACTCGCACCCTTATGAGTTATGCCTTTCATGCGCTTTCGAAGTAGAGACTAGAGTTAAGGGTTTAGTTTAGAACTAATATCAAGATTTTGTTGGTATCTCACTCGATTTAATAGTTGAAGGATGTGGTTGATGGAAATTATCGAGTGGAAATTTATATACATTTTATTAGACCTATAACTAGGAACAGCTGCGAAATATCGGCAACTTTATATTAGTTCTGGCTTGCATTTTTCGCAGCTGTTCAGCCTAGATCCTGGTTAGGTCTAATGTTAGAATGTGCTCATATAACCTAACAACATGGCAGAACCCTATATGTATACACATCAACTTGTGGTTAGAGCTCGACAACTGCATGGCCTCTGTATAGCTCAGTTGGTTAGAGCGCTGCACCAGAATCGCAGGGTCCGCGCAGGTTCAATTCATGCCAGGGACCTATAAAGTTGCATTTTTCGCAGCTGTTCCTGGTTAGGTCTAATAAAATGTATATAAATTTCCACTCGATAAATTCCATCAACAACACCCTTAGTTTAGAACTGCATGGTTGATCTATTCAGAGAAATGATTAGTTTGTTTATAGCTTATAGTTTACATGTACGAGAGCAATTCTAGAGTACTGTACGTACCTCAACTGTGGAACTATAGCAATCAATCAATACAGAATCCAATCAAGAACTCTCAAAATAATTTATCCAACCCTTTCTCCCACTTACTGCATGTATAATTACTGGCATCCAATATACTCCGCACAACAAGTAAATGTAGGACTGAACGTTCCAGAAAATATTTTATACCATCATGTGTAACGAACTATAACGAACATTGACAAGGCATGCATTATATTCTTAGTAGATATTGATATAATATTGTATTTAATTCTGGCATTGTATTTAATTTTAGCAGTGTATTTAATTTTAGCTTATTTCTCTATATCTCAATTGTAAATAATAGGCGTATTATACATTTTCAACCTACGGGTTGCAAAGCTTATATTTCTCTATAAATAAAATTCAAACATTCTTTTGGATTTAAATTTAGTTGAACTGACCTCAAGTTATCGACCAATTAGGACGATCCGTAAAGTTTTCTTTGTTGATGCTGAAGAAGTCGAAATGCTAATGGATCAAACTTTTTATGTTGCTTGTGGTTCATACCAGGACTGCAGTCTTGACAATCGACACGCCGCCAACCATAACACGAGGTGAAGAGCAGAAAAAGTAGGGCACACGTCAATAGCAGAGTCTTAACATTCGCCCAAATCAGCATCTTTTCTATTTTTTAGCAGCTCAGTGATGAAAAACCTCGAGAATCTTTTCCACCGCTTCTGACTGTTTGCGCTGTCAAGCAACGTTATACAAAGATTGAACGTGTATTCGTTTCCTTTATATAAGCAATAGTACAGGAGATACGCACCTTTGACCTCCGCATTCCAATGAGAAAAACATTTCATTATTTAATGTCAAGCTTATGATAAAATTACTCCTTTTTACGTCACCGCTCTTCATGTAAGTGTGGAGAGATTGATCATCAGCTCAGTTTTTCGATCTTTATATAAGCAAAGGCCTGTTTACACTGGAGGTATAACCACTACGGTTACCCTGCCAAGAGGGTCAAAATAGCGAGTCTTTAGATGATCGAGTTAGAATTACCACTAGAGCTATGTTGTCAGGCTATGCGTGGTCGCTAAGCCAGCTGTATTTGAGAATGGCGCCTAAATGCAAAATTTTAGCGGCAAGTTGTTTAATTCTTAGTATGTCTTGGTTTCAATGCTGTGGTCAATTACTTTCTGTGTTATTGTATCAAAAGGGCGAATAAAACATGACTCGCTTGGTATAGAAACGAACATTTTCACAAGCGTACAGATTGTATACTATTTCTTCGACCCTTTTAGAACTTTTAAGACTTGATATATAATACTCTTTTACCGTTTTTTACATTTAAATATTTTGATCGAAAGGAATGAAATGTCCGCCATCTTCAATTTTTGTAGATATGCATGTCACGTCACAAGAGGGGTCACGCATATTTTTATCTAGACAACCACTAATCCAATCAAAACTATATAATTCTGTCTGCCCTTCGAAATATCAAGATCTCTCCAGTAAAACCTTTAAAACATCCACCAATCAATATTTGGTCAGCAACGAATACTTTTATATGGTTAATCCCTGTTGTGACGTCACCAAAACTACCTTTAATGAGATCAAAAATTTATCCAAGATGGCGGACATCTCATTACCGCAAGTGAAAGTATTTCAAGAACTATTAAAGCAAGATATGAAAAATCGGTAAACGAAGTTAATGTATAATTCCAAAAGTATACTTAGTCTTGTTTAGTACAATCAGGTTGAGAACAAAGATTTTCTACTCCTGGGTATTTAAAATAGCTTCAGTAATCGTATATGAATTAAAGAGCATAACTGCATAAAAATTACTAATTTGTGACATTTGTCATATCACTTCTATTCTGTTTACGCACCCATGAGTTCAGTTCAGCATAGTAATATGGCAATTCATATTCCAACAAAGGCTTGATTTCGAAGGGTATATACTTTTTCTTTAGACACCCTGTGTGCTACCCTGGATTCCAGAGCCTTCGACAGGAAATAATAAATTGAAATGTCGTGAAGGCTCTGCTTCAACGGGGCGATTCTTTGATTAAACCGCGCCAATAACAAAACAGAATTAGTGGTTTTAGTACAGAATCAAAGAATCTCCCCGTTGAACCAGAGCCTTCGCGACATTTCAATTTATTATTTACTGTCGAAGGCTCTGGAATCCGGGGTACTGTGTGCTAGCTAAGCTAATATTTTATTTCGCTCTCAGAAATTTCAAAATGGCGGCACTGAATATCACGCACCACGTGAGAAAGATACGTGCTTTTATTGGCTATACCATGCATATATTCACAGCTGAGCTTATAACTCACAACGTCCACACACGTTGCGATCCTTGCCTCGCGTGGACAAAATAATCAAACACGATAGCTAGAATTTTTCCTCACTGTCTCGCGTGTCAAATTCCGCAGCAAAAACCATGAACACGTGCACGAGAGCTTTTAGCTGAGCTGTCGCCACGCGTGGTGATTAGCTCAGTCAATGCTAAAACAATTATCCCCTCCCCCCAACGCTTCGCGTTTCGGTGAATATCCTTGCACTATTCACCTCAGGGTGCTTTCAAAAACTCATTAATAATTCATGAAGCAATTATCCAATCTTGAGTAAGAAATTAGTCACGTGCATACGTCTTTATACCAGCTAAAGAACACTTTAACAAAAGACCATTGTTATGCAAACTATATAAAGATTTTTATATAAAGATTTTTATATAAAGATTTTTATATAAAGATTTTTATATAAAGATTTTTCATATTCAGATTTGACTTATTATGCAAACGTTTTTGAAGCCATTTGAAAAACTCGCAGGTCGTGTTTTATTAGGTCTAAAGCCACTCGCGCTGCGCGCTCGTGGCTTTAAACCTAATAAAACACTCCTGCTCGTTTTTTAAATAGTACTTAAAAGTTCTTTCATATAAGACAAAGTTAATTTTTATTGCCGTATCCCTTTAATACGCATTTAGACGGTCAATTTCGGACAGGTTTTTTGGTCGTGTCTACGGCAAAATATTAGTGAGTTTAAGTTTGACTTCCGATACCAATACCGATATCGATGTCTTCACTTCCGTTCTCATTTTGGTACTGGGAATTTTAAAGCGTTAAGTTATCACGACAGATAAAGTATAGAATACATTAATCGTCACCGAAAATGTGCGGCATACTAAACGGCAGCTGAGCTAAAATTCCGACTAAAACATGACTCAGGCGATGCTAACAAACAAATAGTTCACCTGTTTATCGAAAACATTATGAAATATTCGATTTATGAGTTTATCTTACAATTCCCACGCTTCCAGTACAAGGCCGATTTCGGTAGTGGTGACTTCCAATACACCTGTCCTCGTGCTTCTTGCGAGAAGAGCGCATGCGCATGACCTGTTGTTAGTATCAGTATTGGTATCGGACGAACACGTACCGAGGAAAAACGTCTGCGCATGCGTGGGACATAAAAAAGATGGCGAGGAATTTAAATGCCATATTTAAAACAAAAACATGAGTTTTTAATGATTTAAGGTAATTGAAACAAACAAAAAATACACTAGACGAGTAGTTTAGACATGAATAAAAAGATTTTAACATTTAAAATCTAAAAAGAAACAGAATTTAAATTAAAAATTACCGTTTAAGACCGGCAGGCGTGTGAACATTTCTTGAAAAATTGTCGAATACCGAACTTAAAGTAGAAAAGTTAAGAAAACTATAGAATAGTTAAGCATTTGCACACGATTAAATTGTAGAGTAAATCATTATCCTTAAACATAGTCAACGCAAAAATTATACATGCTACGCAAAAAAAGTTATTGACAAAAATGTGGATCATATGAACCTACGAAAAATATCTTTGTATGGTTCAGTTAAAGAACGTTTTATACAATAAATTTATCGACAGTCACCTTTGGTTTATTTTGTTGCATAATCACTACTTCTTGCACATGTAGACTATAATTATTTCTAGTTTTTAGGTTGTCACGTTCATTTTGAGTTTTTGACAACATTCGGTACACTTGACATCAACACCGCGGAAAAACGTCTGCGCATGCACCAAATTATGAAAATATGGCGGGGAATTTGAATATCAATTTCTAAAACAAAAACATGCTTATTAATTGGTCAAAAATTAGTAAAACAAACGAGAAAATGTAGCAAATGGTAGACTAGACATTAATTGAAAGCGTCCTGGCATTTAAAGTATGGAATGAAATATAATTCATGTAAAAAATTGTTGATTTTAACGGACACGACTTATTCGACGGACAAAATTATTCAAAACAAAAATTCAAACTCAAAAGTTAAGAAAACTCTCGAAAAGTTAAGCTTCTTAACCCACTCAAATTGTAGAATAAATCCTAAAGTTTAAATATTGTGAACACGAAAATTTTTTATATTTGGCGACACAGTTTTTTTTAAAGAAATGTATCTCAAACGAAAATTCGGAAATTGTCGTTGCCTAGTTGATAAACAAAATGTTTCACACGATAAATTTGTCAACAATCACCTTTAGTTCATGTTCTTGTACAATACAATTTCTTGAATCTTCTGGCTGTATTTATTCCTAGTTTTTAGAAAGACATGTTTATTTTTGCGCTCGAAATCTGGCTGTAAAGACGCACAATGAAGTCACTCCTTTTTACCGCCATTTTGAGCCTTCGGAAACGTTCGGAACAGCTTCTCATCAAGTTCACAATACTATTACAG